TGTGTGACACATTTACAAACAAATATCTCAAGACTCCATCGTGCTCGTTTCCCCGGGGGCACGCCCATCAATCAATCGCTGTGAGAAAGAGCCACCGAGGAACACTTTGACTGCTTTTCATGATCTAAACCGGCCTGTTTTGATAACATTGTGCCGCTTCCGGTGGAGGAAGAGGGAATGGAAGCCCTCATTGTGGTTTGTAAAGGGGCTTTTCGAAACAGGAAGTTTACAATACAAAGGGAGCGCATAGCCTAAAAAAATAAAAATAAATCTTACCCTGATATTGTCAAATGATGGCTTATTGGTGATATCATAAAGCAGAAGTAGTGCTGTAAAAAAGAGGAAAAGACACACAATCTCTTTGAAAAGGAGTGCATGTCTTACTTTGTAGAAAGGTCGCTCCCACACACACAAACAGTATGAGGAAGTAGACTAAACAAGTAAAGGTTACCTTGGGCATCTCTATAGTAGGCGTGTGTCACGCTTCGGAATCTTTCCTGGCCGGCTGTATCCCAGATCTGAAACAAGCCACATAATTACACAGTGACGCAAACAGAAATGCTGCCCTACTGAACAAGCCAAACTGCAAACGACCGACGGAGGAATGTACCAGGATGGCTCATAGACTGTCTGTTGCCCAAATCCAGTAAAAGCCAACTTGCTGACATCAGTCTGCTGAATGGCACTTATTCTTTTTTGCGATCACGGCCGATGAATTCCAAATCACTTCACACAAAGTCTGCGCTAAGATACGAATATTTTCATGGTCACGGTTATATTGAGAACGCGTCCTGCCATCAGATCTAAAGACAAACACGTGGCGTCGACCGTCGACTGTCGCCAATTGCGCTTTTCAAATCAAATGTGGTTTTGCATCCTTCTGCCACACAAAATGATTTCAACTCTCCGTGGGCGTTGAATTCCGCATTAACGGCAGCGTATGATGCAAGATGTGCAGGAACCATGGGAGAGACAAGAGGTGAAGCCTCCAGCTACCGCAGAAGTATCTAATTCTGTCACCTCCTACTGCTGTTCAACAAACAGGTTATGAGGATAGACGACCGGGTGCCTTTGTGCGAAGAAACCCGGTTGTAGTCCCTTCAATTTGTAAACACTCGCAGATGAGTCCGCCATCATCCGTCGGGACTGCTCGGGTGATACACGTGTGCTGCAAAATA